GCATTTACATATGTATGTACATACAAACGAGCACCAATCAATTTTATTTAAAGAAATGGCGTGTCGTCTATTTCCGCTTTTTTTTTTTATATTATTTATTTACAAGTAAACAAACAAAGAAGCGAGTTTGGCGTCCGCGGTAGGCGAGTGGTGAGGGCTGCGTGCTACAAGCCAGCAGCTGGCAGGTTCGATCCTCGGTTGGGGCGATTGCCAAACAATTTTTTGTTTATATATATATTTAATTTTACTTTATTTTATTTTGATTTGCTTTATTTTATGTCAGATTTATTATTTGTCAATTTAAATTCTTATGCCCTTATTCATAAAAAATAAAGTAGGTTTAAAGAGCTTTATAATATGACGTTTTCATACATTTTTGAGTTTATAAACCTTTTTTAAAGATACTTTATTTTTTATGAATAAGGCCATTAGAGTTGAATTTTATTAAAAAGTCAACCACAACTTATTGAAAGCAATGTTAAAAAAATATAGAACTTATAAGAAAATGAATAAGAAGGAAAAAATGAAAATTCTGCTGTGCGTGGGACTCAAACCCAAGACCTTGCGGCTCGCTGATCCGCATTACTGCCGTCTGTCAGTGCAAATATATTATGCGCATTTGTGTGCTAGTTTATCTGCATAAGCATGCCCGTCTGTCTTTTGTTCAACTATCAATCAAATAATTGCTTTCTTTTGTATTTGCACAATTTCACTCATTTTTTTCGATATCTCTCGCCTACAAACTGTTGATATTCGGTGTCTCTTTCTAGGTTTACAATTGTCGAGGAGTTTGAGGCGCATGTCAGGATCCATACTTTGGAATTTTTAAAGCACTCTTTTATATTCTTGCCATTTCGATGAAGTTCCTTTTCTAATATTAATAAGGTCGCTTCTCTGTAATGCTAATGCTTTTAGCATAAATGAAATATCTTCGCTAATTCAATGTGGTGTGGATCCTACTCAATCCACCGCTACGGTAAGTGTTACACACTCCCACCATTGCAGTAGTTGAGTTTGCCGTCTTTCCGTTTTAGACATAATATACATATGTATGTGTGTACGTATATATTTTTTAATTTTCCTACTTTTCCATTTTCCGCTTAGAGCTTCATGATTTTTCTGAATTGCCGCAGCTGCTTGCACAGTTGACAACTTTCTATGCCTCTGCTAATGCGTGAGCGTATGACTTGAAAAGGTTTTATAATTCTAATTAACTTTTGTTGTTGTTTGTGCTTATGTTGTTGTTACTGCTGCCTGACAGTTTTAATAAAGGAATTATGAAAGTAAAGGTACATCATATGTATGCAATGCAGGAGAATGCATACGGGGGAATTGTTAAAATGATATTAGGTAGGAAGGGGTTATTAAGAGACGCTGATTATACCAAATGATGACTTTAAACGAATAAAATATTATATAGATAAGATAAAGTATTTCGACCTAACACTCTTTCATCCGTTATTTCAAAGACGTTTGAAAGACTTATTGACCTACATACATATGTACATACATATGTGTAAAGGAAAGCACTGGCATCAACACAATAAGCATAGCGCAAGACGCACGTAGTAACGGTAGATCTGTTAATCCACGAAGTGGTTAGTACTATCGAAAAGCATTAAAATTTATGGAATATACCCTGGCAGGCTTTATAGATATTGAATGTGGCACAGGATCCATAACAAAAAACCATTGGCGGCACTACCAAGGGGTATACTATCACCTAGCTTCTGGATATTGGTGGTAAATGAGATTCTGTGATCGCTTAGAATAAAAGGAACAAATAGAATAGAAGGAGCGCTTGCCGAAGATAGATAGATGGATATTAAAATCATCATCTTCACAATACTTCCTCTAAGCCTACGTTCCTCAAAAACAGCAGCAGCGCCTTCGGGCGTGGGGAGTGAATGTGCTCAAACTGTCACCACATCGAGCCACATCGAGCGGATAGCATCACACTCGGTAAGATTATGTAGTGATTAGTTGGCCATACAACTGGCCTCTTAGTCTGGAGAGTCCTGTAAGGATACCTGTTAGGATTCTAATCAGGTTTTTTAGTCACTTAATGTTGTATATACCCAGTAGACTCTTTGCCTGGTGCAGTCCAACTGAGCTCCACCAATTTTGGTCGCTTATTGTGTTACTCTCCATCCTGAGATGTTCCCTAAGAGTGTAAGGGCCTAGGACCAGGACGGCTCGGGTCCAACACTTCGGATATGGGTCGATCATAAATGAAATGCAATTAAGTAGGACGACGATGTAAATTTCAGATGTAACGTACAAGTATCATTCTCATACAGAAGAGACTTGAGAAGAGACCGACTGGCATAAAGAGATGCTATGTTTATATACACCGATGGATTCAAAATAGATTGCGGTATAGGAGCGCGAGCCTACTCCGAGGAATTCGATGTTGCTTTGTCTCTACGATTGCGAAAGAATAGGAGCATCTTTCAAGCGGAGGTATCCTCGAAGTCTGTAAAATCTTAGGCAAAGGATCGGGTACACATGTAAAGCAATAATAAGTTCTGACAGCCAGTCATTCTTAGAGTGGAATAAAGAGATATTACTTTGCATTTCCTTGAATTGCCTTGACACAGTCGGTCAGACATACAGACCTGTAAGATATCGAGATAACTTGACTATAACAGGACGAAGACCTTGGACCTGCTTAGCATATCACGGGACACTGGTCCCTAGGCAAATCTGCGGCAAAAATAGCACTACAGTTTTTTCGGATTCACATATCCGGGCGTTTTCTACGGCATTTTTAAGGTTTTATGAGGTTAGGCTGTATGGGAGATATGCGTCAAAATAATCCGATTACGTCCATTTTATGAGAGTTTACATATAATATTACAACAAACAGCTGGATAGAATTTCGGCATCATATATTTTTCGGTGCGCTTTTAGGGGAATTTTTAGGTCCTATTTGAGGTTAAGTTTGTATGGGGAGTATGCTTTCAAAGAAATCAATCACGCCGATTTTTGGTTATTTTTTTGATTTATGTCCACAAACATTAAATTCGGAAAATGGAGGCCCTACACCAAGTCCAAGAAAATGTATGCGGCTTATGGTGGTCCTTAAAATCAAATGAAGGATTTCTGTAGGTCTCATCCCCTCAATCAGTAATACTACTGCCACAGATAATATATTTCCACTTTGGTCCCGATTAGAGACTGTTAAGGCGCGTCGCACAGGGGGCAAAGTACAGAAACCTTTCGGGAGACTCAAAAAATTAGAAATAATTTTTTTTTCATCCAATACCCAAAATCGATACTACCATAGTCGAAGATATCACATGCAAATTTTGGTCCCGATTGGAGTCGGTTAAGACGTTTTCATAGGGTAATCTGAACTTTACCCCTGTGCGACACACCTTAACCCACTTCAATCCGGAGCAAAACTTATATGTGATATCTTCGAGTATGGTAGTATCGATTTTGGGTATTAGACGAAAAAAAATTAATTTTAATTTTTTGAGCTTCCAGAAAGAAATCTGAAATTTGCCCCCTGTGCGACACGCCTCAACCGTCTCCAATCGGAATCAAAATTTCTAAGTGATATTTTCGACTATAGTAGCATCGAGGTAGGGGTTGGGGTTTAGGAAATCTGATTTAAAAATTTGCTTCCTACATTTAAGGACCACCCTAATGCGGCTATATCACAGTGCTGCGGTGGCATGCACTTTGTGTGCGATGCAGAAATTTAAGCTCATAATTTTGCATTTCAATAAAAGTGAATGGCGCTATTCATTAATTATTTGGTATAATGTTCTCCTCAAGGTATATATATATATATATGGAAAACCCCACGAGTTGTTAGATTTTTCAAGAAAAACGTGTTTTTAGTCGAAAATGGTGGCACACTTATCTTAGATAATGCCTATCTTCCGTTTTACTTAAGGAAGAAAATTCTATCGCGAAATCATATTTAAATGAAAATATAAAAAAGATATACATACAAAAAAAAAAAGAAAAAGGTAAAAATAACAACTTGTTCTCATATACCCGTAGTTTTGTATGTAACGTATACGCACCGTAGCACAATACACAGTCAGCTACGACGTTTATTTGCACGTCTTAACTTAAAAGTCATATAATTTAAAAGTAATTAAATATTGGCGTGGAAGATTTTTACACAGTATTCCCTATGCACATATATACTATTTTCTTCATGTAATTAACAATTTTAGAATGAATTTCCAGTGTGCCAATCAAAATTTTTAAAATGGAATTTTAGTCTCTCGGAACATATGTAGTTATCTTTTACTCAATTTAATTTCGGTTTTTCATTTGTTGGCACACTAGTTTCGTTACAATACATTTCCTAATTTTTGGCAAGAAGGAATTTACTGTGTAATTTCAACATTTTGAAGTATCTTACATTATTATAATTAAAAAAAAATCGTAAAATTAAAAACAGCTGTGACAGATATTCTGCATGCTGTTATTTATTTTTATTTTTTTAATTTGGTGGCACACTCTTGAAACTTCACAATATATGTTTTATTTGATGCCAACGTCCATTGGCTCTAATATGAAAATTCTGTTTGAAAACTACCCAATGTTCTTAACACACAACATTATGATTTTTTCGAGTGACACTGAAAAAATTAATATTTTCGATCCATTCTCCCCTAAATAAATATTTCAAGGCAAGAATTGTTTAAATACTGTACTTGTTTTTTATTTTACTTGTTTCTGGAACTGCCTTGATTGCAATATATGCAAGAAGACTACTTTAGCGTTTTTTTTTTGGCGAGAGAAGGTAGTGACACTTAAAAGGAACTCGTGGGATTTGCTCATATAAAGGCGTTGCAACCGTGTACAAGGAATTCAGCTTTAAATTAGCAAGCTACCAGTAAAGTTCACGTGAGTAAAGTATTTGATAATAAAGAAAATTTGTGCGACAACCTTGAGTGTTTCATTTGAAAATGCAGTAATCGAACCCAAAGGCGATAAACAAAAGCGTTACAATACTGATACATATATGTACCATTAATATTCCACGGCGTATGAGTAACATTTTTGCACTGCCTATTTGTATGTATGTACATCGCACTCACCTGCAATATGCTGGTTTTACCGACGCCGGAGGCCCCCAAAAATGCCGCTTTAAGGGGGCCCTGCAGCCATGGGGGCTCCGCACCACCCTCCAGAGTGATGCGCTATGCTGAGATGCACTTATTTTGTATGTGAATTTCCATTGCGATTGAGATTTTGGTCGATTGGGTTTTATTGTTTGTGGCGTTCGACGCTGCTGCCGTTGCTGTTGCTGTTGCCGCGTTTTTAGTTGGTGTCGCCTGTCGATTCGCTGGAGTAGTGGTTGTAGCTGCGACTGTAGCTGTGACTGTTGGCACTGGTGTTGCTGTAACTTTCTCCGTTGGTGTTGGTGTTGGTATTGCCTTCGATGCGTTATGTATTTGCGGTTGTTGCCTTTGCTTTTGCCTTTGCTGTTGCTGTTGCTGTTGCTTTTCTTGTTGCTGATGTTGCTTTTCTTGATGTTGCTTTTCTTGCTGCTGATGCTGTTGTTGTTGTTGCTGCTGCTGATGTTGATGCTGTTGTTGCTGTTGCTTATGCTTTTCTTGTTGCTTGTGCTGATGATGCTCGTCGAGGTGATGTTGTTGTAGTTGCTGCTGCTGCTGTTGATGATACTGGCGATTGTTTCCGACATAGTCGACGCTTCGGGTTCTGCCAATCAGTAGTTTCTTGGAATTTGTCGGCGATATTGCACTCCACATTATACCCGGCATATGGATCGAAAGTAAGTAGCGTGCAATTGTAGTGGCGATTTGTGTGACAAACAATTTGCGTTACGTTTATTTTTTTATCTGCGACTTTTGGATTCAATTTAAATATAATTTTTCCTTTGTTGTCGCAATACAATTCGAGCACTTAGAAGCTATTCAAGGCAAAAAAACAAAAATATTAAAATACCAAATCAAATCACTTTGCATTACTTTTCGGCTTTGTCCTTGTTGTTGCTTTGCATATAGCCAACAGACAACTGTAATTGCTTGTTTGCTTATGAAATCAATATTTGAAATGTAAATTCGTAATCTCTAATCTGCAAACTGAAATCCAAATTTGTCTGTTCTTGTCGTTGACGTTGGGATATCAAAATATTTTCCCTTTACTTTCAGGCATCCTTGATTTCTTTGCTCGATTACTTAGAGTGTTGCTTGTATGCTATGTATGTATGTAAATCATATATGGATGCATACGTGTATTAAGCTGTGGTTGGTATTGTATTGTTGTTGCTTTTGTTACCCTTACCGCTGCTGTTGCTGTTGCTGTTGCCTTTTGGTGAGTTACCTTAAATATTTATGTTTGTTTAAGATTATTATTGCTTTTCTATTTGATTGTTGTTGTTTATTGAATTTGCTTGCTTGCTGCTGCTGTTTTGGTGTTCTTGTTGTTGGTGTTTTACTTCCTACATCCTTCTACTTTCGCATGCTAAAGTTGTTCGATTTAGTTGAAATCTGTCTGTGTACATCAGAATATAAAAAAAAATATGAAATGTAATAAAATAAATAAAGTAAATAAAAATTAAAAAATTAAAAAAAAAAAACATTTTGTTTTTCTTATTGATATTTTATGTCCAAAAGTAGTTACTTACAAGTTAGTTACATCAAATGCAGAGGTAAACCACCCTTGACTATTTCTCGGCAATCTCCATAGAAATATAGTTAGCTTTCGTCAAAGAAAATATACAGATAATAAGTGAATTTTAGCTCCTTCCTAATCAATTTAAAGTTAGCATAGAGTTAGATACATTTCCTGCAGGGTACATATATATTTTTTTATATTATGTAAGTTTGTCCTAAACATTTGCCATTTTCGGCCTTTTACGGGGATCTACGTCAAGGCATACGAGTACATATATGCAACTATAATCCCTTAATCTATAAAATAATATTTAAGAAAGCGATAGGTATCAGTTTAATCAAGAGTTAAAAGCATTTTTCCTTCTTGCTATGTTTTCATCAATGGCATACATATCAACAACAAAATCTATTGATGTCAAAAACAGTTTGAGAAGCTGCATTTTAAAATGTTTAAGACCATAGCATCCAACTGATTTTGATTTTCTTTTTTCTTGCTCTTTCTTTGCAGCAATAAATAAAACACCCAACGCACATAAAAAAATACCAATAAAAATAGCACAGAAAAGCAATAACAAAAACTGAGTGCAAAAAAAAACAAAATCTTCAACTAAGCTCGACAACTCTTGACAGCAGCCAGAGAATTGCTGTGGCAAACTTTTTAGTAAGCAAGAAGGCAGAAGAGCGTGAAAAACGTGAAGAGTGAAAAGTGAAGATAGCTGAGGAAGGAAATTAAGGAAGAAGACGAAGTGGGAGCATACGCAGAAGCACAAGACGTGCGTGCAACTTTGCATAAATCGCTTGTAAATCCTTTCAACTCTCAGCACACACACACACACA